GTCTCTGTGTGTGTGTTTGTGTGTGTGTGTGTGTGTGTGTGTGTGGAGTAACAGGCTGTGGTTTTCCATTGAACCCTCGGGAGGCTGTGGAGTGCTGCTCTACAGGGGCAGGCACAATGATTTATTAGTATGGTAGGCAGGAAAAACGAGCAGGCTGAGACAAAACAGATCTGCCATCACACTCCAGTTCTATGTCTGGTTTCACATAGAGACACAAAATCTGTATATATACACGCACATTAGGTCCAGAACAATGAGAATTGCATTTCCAAGTCTCTTAATATTGTTTATGAAAGGGCATGTTTATAGCATACGTGCCATGGAAAACTGTTCCTCTGGTTTGGAAAAGAATAAATATAATTTTGATCTCCAGTGTACTTGTTAGTAGAAATGATCCCAGGTGTACTCCGTTTGTAATTAGTAGCCTGACTGGTTGACTATGTTTAGTTAATGAGGTGCCTGAACACTGTTTTCTGTCTCCAATTTATGTTTTGGTCACCCATAAGTGAGCAAGTACTTGCATAATCTAATTTCTTGTCTGGTAGAAGTAGTAGAATTAGCTTTACATTAGAGATGCTTGATATGTATAGGTATATGTACTGTTATTTTATATCACAATGTTCATTTAGTAAATTCAAACATGATGGGCAGTTTTTACAGCTGACAAGTGTTGACCTATCAGAAAAGCACAGGTCTTAATAGTAACATTAGTGATGGCTCCATTGTGTTCAAATGTTCCAGAAAGGCATAACAGTGTGACTGTGGACTAGCTTACACACAATGCCAGAGCTGTGAGGCAGAAGCAGCTAAATGAAATGTAAAAGGCCTATTGAGATATTGTCAGTGTCAGTTTTGGGCTAATCCAGTGAGTGAAATACCTGACCTTCATCACAGTGGTGCAAAACTTATAAAAGTCCCATTATGCAATAAAGCTGTCCTGCTCATTGCAGCATTGGCAACAGTGCTTTAATAGAACTATTAAAGGCAGTGGTACCAGTACCATTGTACAGTCTTCAACAGTTGACAAATTTCTACCATGTGACATTATCTGCTGTCATACCGCCCAGCTTGACATGACATACTGCATTAAGCCTGCATCCAAGCGTTATATTTGTCATAAAACAATGCAGTTAAGCACTGCAGAGTTTCACTGAACAACTTCTGCATAGTTGGTCTTTACTGACAGGACCTGAATAGAGGTGCAAAGTTTGAAAACCAGCCCAGAGGAAAAATGCCAAATGTAATTTAATGAGAATTTAATATGAAGCTGCTTGCTTCTAATTGATTTGATCTTGGTGAATGAATTGTCACTCAGACTGAAGTGTAATTATACACTGTAGATAAATACACACCGATTTGGAAAAACATTTAAATTATTCAGGAGACTTCAAATTTTTAAACTACTAAAGTGGACAAGATGGACAAAAGCTGTGCTTCCCTTCAAAGGTCAGCAGACATCTGCATTAGATTTCTTGCTGAGTGTCAGTTTCCTGAGGGCCAAGCATAGGAAGTTACTGTTAACCCAAAGTCACTGTTGAAGATTACAGATAGGAAGCTGATCACACAGTCTTTAGATGAAGACTGTCACTAATAGAACAAATGTCATCACTTTTTTTTTTTTTAGCATTTCAGGCTAGTACAACAACTAAGACAGCTTTCACTTATGTTTGCAATGAAATAAATGGGGCTGAAACCATGCAAAAGAGTATTGGATGGCCCTCTGTTCGGCTTCCTAAACATTGACACCCCTGGCCATTCATTATCTTTGACAGAGTCCAAACAGTTCAAACTCATCATGCTGTAATCTCTGTGAGATTTTAGTCAGCAGTATTTAAAATGTAATCACTCTTTGGATAAAAGATTTCTTTCTGTCCTCTTTGATCTTCCTTTCTTCAGGCATGACAGGCTGGGCCAGGGGCTCTGAGGGCAGTTCAGAGGATCTGTGCCTGACCCACGACTAAGGACAGAGAGGAATACGTTGTCTGAGCAGAATGACTCAGCAAGAGGGGGGACCCCCAAATAGCAAGTGAAGAGAAGTGAGGATGGGTGCCAATGGATCCAGCTATCCACACTCATGCTCCCCACGCATCGGGGGGAATGCACAGGCACAGCAGACATTTATAGGTAAGGATTTGATCTCTGGCTTAATCACTTGTGTTGTGATCACTTGTAAGGTTAAATTTACTCTGATAGATCATTCTGTATTTTCAGTTAGCATATGATAAAATATCTTTTAGATGAACTGTTAGTCAAGAACATGATTTTCCCACTCACTGGTATAACAAGGTGTTAAAACTATAGTCATGAATCCAATTTAGCACTATGCACCCCTGCTTTAAAAACTTAATGGGGGTTTAGCATGGCCAAACTCACACTTTTGATTAACCTGCTTCCATGGCAACTAATGGTGCAAGGGGAATATTTTTGTACATTAGAGCTCATGAACTGGGCATTGACTCATGTAACAGAAACAGAGCCTTTAAAAAGCATCACATCTACTTTGCCATATGCATTTTATGAAGCATTATGAGAGACAGTTATGCAAAGAAACCTGTCTTGTGTGTGTAGTTAACCAAAGTCACATCAGGTATTTGCTTGTAACTGTTAGCATTAAGTAGCAGCCTTCCAGTCATGCTCTTCTTAGCTTTTGTTATGCTTGTGGTGTGATGTGATTAGGATAAGGCTGCTGGGTGCCAGATATCATTTTTGACCCTGTGGCCAGCTGTAGGCTGCTTGTTGGACTGTGTCACATTTTTCTACTGAGCAGGAGCTACAGCTTCACTGTTAGAGCCTGATGGGAAGGGTTTTGTGCGTGTGTGTGCGCGTGTGCGTGCTTTTGTTCCAGTTTTAGCAGTGCCAATGTCATTGTCAGTGAACATTATTGTACCACAGCTAGACATTCCTATCTGTCAGTTTGTACCTGCATTTATGAAAAAAAGTGTCTGGCATACAGGGACACAGGGTGTATTAGTTTTCATGTGCTTGTTACTTATATACAGTGGTGGAAAGTAACCCAAGTACTTGAGTACAGTTTTGAGGTACAGTATCTGTACTTTACGTGACTGTTTTAATTTTGTACTACCTCATACTTTTACTTCACTACATTTTAGAAATATTGTACTCACTCCACTACTTTTATAACTTTAGTTACTTTTCAGAATCATATTAATAAAAAATAACTCCCCCTTTACCAGCTGCATTAAATGTGACTTACACAAAGGTGCATCAGTAATTATAATCCAAGAATATGATATACATTGTGTAATGAGTACCTTTACTTTTTGTATTATATCAGGACTGTGGTTGTTAAAATCACTGTCTGTTATGAGGTGTTGGGAAACCTATGTGATTCTCCTAAATCATGAACCACTGGGGTCTTTCTGGTTTATCGTCCTTAAATCTTTTCCTGTAGCCCTCAGTACCAGATGTTTAGAACAGCTTCAGAGACTCATTTAAAGCTTTTAACAAAAAACATTATTTATTTGACTTTCAAAATGACTTTGATGTGAGGCTTTTGTAGACTTCTACTTTAAACTGTAAATGTTATTAAATGAGCCACATCATCTGAGTAGCCCCTGAGACCACTGGGGTTTGGTCTGTGCTCTGTAGCTGTTTGGCTGGGCCGGCCTGGGTCACAGATGATTCACAGTGTTAGAATGATTACTATTTGGGTCACATTGATGGATGCTGAGAGGCGGACAGGCAGGGAGGATCTCCTTGGCAGAGCTTCCCCTGATGCACAAGCCCTGTCACTCAAGCCAAGGATGACTGCTACTTAGTGTAATTGGGCCCAAGCATGCAAATAGACTGAAGTTCATTGAGAAGTACAAAGCAGGACCAAGTCTTCTGTGAGCTGATTTGGTCTTAGTCTGTGATAAGCTAAAGTTTGGTCTAAATTGAACAGAATGAGGGGATTCTCTGCGTGAGTGTTAATTCCCCACTGTTGAATTAGTTCCAGATCCTTTTGTAGCAGGGTTGGGGTAGTGTTTGCTTGGCCTGGCAGAGCTGGTCACACCATAGGGATGCCAGAGACAGATTGTATTTCTTGCAGTTTGCCTTCAAGACTGCTGCGATGTTAGATGGTCATATTTCAACGGGGCATTATTTGAAAATGAAATATCCAGAAAAGGATTTTGTAGTTTTTTTTATAGTAACATCAACAGGTTTGTTATAGTATTGTGTGTTTCAACACACACTGAATTTTTGTGAAGCTAACCTGCATATGTTTTTATTCCAGGGACCTCATCCTACTCTCAGCAGGGATATGGCTGGGAGTCTAAGCTATACAGCCTGGAGCATGGCCATGAACGGCCCACAGACAGGAAGAAGAAGAGCCTTGGTCTGGCAACCCTCAAACGGAGGTTCATCAAAAGGAGGAAGTCCGGTCGCTCAGCAGATCATGCACGGCAGATGCGGGAGCTTTTATCAGGGTGGGATGTCCGTGACACAAATGCCCTGGTGGAGGAGTATGAGGGAACAGCAGCTCTTAAGGAGCTGAGCTTTCAGGCCAGCCAGGCCCGTGCTGAGGCTCCCAGCTTGCAGCGTGATCTTGCTGCCCTCTACCAGCACAAGTACTGTACTGATGTGGACCTCATCTTCCAAGGTACTTGCTTTCCAGCTCACCGAGCCATCCTGGCTGTCCGATGCCCCTTTTTCAAGACTCTGCTGTCCTCGTCTCCTGGCTATGGAGCAGAGGTTCTCATGGATGTTGAGACAGCTGGCATTGATGTGCCCATGTTCTCTGCCCTTCTTCACTACTTGTACACTGGGGAGTTTGGGGTGGGTGGAGCGGAGGATACCAGGCTGCAGAATGTGGATGTACTGGTACAGCTCAGTGAGGAGTTCGGTACGCCCAACTCCCTGGAGGCAGATATGAAGGGCTTGTTTGACTACATGTGTTACTACGATGCTCTGCTCAGCTTCTCTTTGGACTCTGAAATAGTAGAGAGTTGTAATGAGAGAGGAGCTGTGGCTGCAGCACTAACGGGGGGCTCAGGGGGCAGTGGGACCCCTGGGACGCCAGATGAAGACCTTAGGGCTCACAAGGCCATTCTTTCAGCACGTTCTCCTTTCTTTAGAAACCTTTTGCAGAGACGTATCCGCACAGGAGAGGAAATGACAGAGCGTACATTACAGACACCCACTCGCATAGTACTAGATGAATCTATCATCCCACGGAAATATGTGCAGGTTATTCTTCATTGCATGTACACAGATGTGGTGGATCTTGGGCTGGTGCTGCGGGGCAGCCCCTCAGCAAGCAGCCTCGGTGAGGTGCAAGCCCTTGTGTCAGGGGGTCGTGGGGCCAGCACACGGACTGAGGAGGCCATGGAGTTGTACCATATTGCTCTATTCTTGGAGTTTAGTATGCTAGCTCAAGGTAAGTCATGATCACACACATTTATAATGCAAAACACAAATCAACTGTACATGAAAAGATAAAAAGAAGGGTGTTCTTTTTAGACACGGTTTGATTAGTGACATTGTCAACACTCGAATGTAATGGGGCAATGTATAAAATATATAAAACCTTAAATTGTTAAGACATCAGTCTTATTTTTATACATTTGTATGCATTTATTTTCTACTCATGTTGGCTCACTTCTGATAAATTTGTCCTGTTAAATTGCAGTCAAAGATGATGGATTGCTGGTTGAAACTTGGCTATAATGTTTTATTTTATTTAATGCAACATTTGGCATTTTCTAGACATTTATTTGAAATGAGTCATTTTAGAAAAATAGAAGATTCATAATGTTTTGATAAATTCATTACATTTGTTTTATTGTCCAGCTCTACGTTTGAGCATAGTATGCCTTACAGTTTAGTTTGTTTGATTTCTTCATAGTCTGTCTCAGCCTGGTCAAATTTATTTATTCTCCTTCTTTCTTATAGTCATGTGTCTCTCATTCATTTATTTAGTATTCTGTCCTCTCTTTAAAACTCTTTGAAACCTTATGCATATGTTGGCATATGTGCAATATTGCCGTGCAGCCCAGACTAGTGTTAAACAGCTTGGCTGACTGTGATGGGTGTTATAGCTGCGGCTGCCCTTAACAGATTGATATATGCTGGAGGGCTTGTCTGTGTCTCCAGGGGTAGACGGCTTACTCTCTGATAAATCCAATGCATCTGAGCTTCTGGCAACACCTTGTTGCTGGTTGCCTACTTTGCTACTGCTCTATCTTTACTTGGATGACTGTCATTTTGAGTTTTGCTACTGTTTCAGAATGAACCATGTAACATGCCAAAGGTTATAGTCATGGTTTGACATGAGTCAGTTTGTTATAAGGCAGCCCTTGTCACTCTCACTGCCTCCAGAGCAGCATGCCTGAATGCTGCCCAGTTTCCACTAGCAAATCTCCCTGGCAATAAGAATAACATTTGGAATAAGCCATGCTTGAAACTGTCCAATTCAAATGCACATGAAAAATTTCTGCATTTGGTTTGCCTGTTATAACTGTGTGGATCCACAGAGGTTATATGACTCAACACAGTTTTTTTTTTAATTCTAGTGTCTGTTATCATATCGTGTAACTAGGGTTGCAGCAGTATACCGGTTTTTAGAGACCTGCGAAGAGACTTGAATAGCACTGTACACTAACACCATACACACAGCTGGTTAGACACCCCTCCTACCCCCAGGCTGTAGTGCAGCTCTCAGGG